ATTAGGATAAAAATAAAGAAGGATACCTAAATAAAATGCATGCATTTTAGTATTTTCTATGTAGACTAAGCTTATCAAATAATTATTGTTATACACATAAATATCGTTTTTTTGGAAAAAAAAAGTATTATCAGAGTGGGGCCTGCTTTGGCCGCCTGTGTGCGGTGCACACTTTGCACACATAGTAGCGGCGACCCTGAGCACATTGTATCTGTAAGGAAAAAGAGAAAGTTCTCTTTCTAACACGTTGTTTCTTAATTGTGACTGATCCAGATATATTTTTTTTCTCAAAAACTGTTAGAGATAAACCTATCAGAGTTTATCTTAATAAAATCAGCAAAAGCAGAGCTCGCCAATAAGCGATTAATATATAGGGTGTGAAAATAATATGTTCCATTTCTGACACATATGCATTTCGTTATAGGGTTTTAAAATCACTTTTGCTGAGTATATGCCGCCAAACGGCTTGTGTTGGAAAATGGTAGAACTTCATAGATTTTTTTTTTCAGCTCTTTTTCTACTAAATATGTGATGTGCTCGTGCTCCATGTCCGACACTCAAGCCTTTTGTTATCTAGCCTTAGAATTACTTTTTCTAAGCATATATGAAACGGCTTGAGTGAGAAAATGGTGGAAATTTGCATACAATTTTCCTGCCACTTTCCGACTCAAGCCTCCGTTCCGTCCACATCCGATAGCCTTGCCAAATTTATTATGATGTCTAACATATCAATAACATTCTATAGTTTCAAAGGCATGCATGGAAAAACGACTGAAAAATGGAAAAAAAAATTAGTTAAATTTTCCGACCTCAGGGGCCCAATTCTCGAATCACGATTTCCCAATGTCGCGTACGAGAATCGCATATCTCGATACCTTTTGGCATAATCCAATTCTCGAATATCACCGTCGCCTTTTTTTGATCGACATAATTACGAGTGGGTAAAACCACGCGAGATGGAATCACGAAGTGTCAATTTTATTTATTTTTGTCATAAAAATGGCTGATTACGAAGAAATCGAGTTTTGCGATTTAAGTAGAAAATAATAGATTTCCTAGGAGATTCTATGAGTACAGTAACGCGTTCAATTGTATGTCCGAGTGCCTTTTTGTGAAAAACTTTCGATCAACTGAAGGATTAACACGGGGCTTAATTGAGTTGGTTGGTGCAACCTTATGGGCCGGTTTCTCAATAGCAGGTCACCCTCCGGGTTAAGCATAACTCCAGGGTAAACATAGCAACTGGACACGCTTACCCTAGAAATAAAACCAACTCGAAGGTGATTCGCCATTGAGAAAAATAAAGGGATAATACTAGGGCTTCTTCAATTTCTATTGAAGCCAATGTAAGCATGTTCACTTTTTAAAGAACTTTGTATATTCCCTTTTTTTCCATTACTTTACCACAAATTGTAATCGTAATCGCACAAAATAAGACCTAGAACTTATATTTTTTCACCAAAAACTCCACTTTCATTTGAAAGATCAAAAATTATGCCACTTTATAGTTGTCAAAAACATGCCAATGCTATAAAATTAGATGTTGCCATGTTTAAACATTCGACAATTGTCGAATGCGTCATTTAAATTCATATACCGACCGAGAGTAGAGTTTAGGATTCGCGTTCGACATTCAGATACGTGATTTGTCGCAATTTTTTCTTACAAGATAAAGCCCTTTTTTCAACCATTCAGCCACCTGCAGCACTCAAGCCTTTGGTTTTCAGAAGCTAGATTTTTAATAATTAATCATTTACTGAATACGGCTTGCATGGAAATATAGGCAACAGACACCTTTTATTTCGGTTAAGGAAACTCGAATTTTCCATATTTTATCCCCAGGGGCGACTCATGAATTTCACTTCATTCTACTCAACCTCGAAGTACTTTTCAACCCTCTTCGAGGCCTGTATGCAAAAATAGGGCACCTAAATCTGTCACTATCTGACGGTCTAAAATCTTTTGGTATTCAAAAACTTCCAAATTGACGGCACCGAAATGCAAAAGTAAATAATGGGTCATGTTCGTTTTTTATGCCCATTCCAACGAGCTATCACAATACATATCTTTACATTTGAAAAAAAAAAAGTTGAGGGTGGTTTCTACCCTTAAGAGAAATTTAAATTCCATGAAAACGCCAAAAAATGTGCCAAACTTAAAATAAAGGAATCCATTTTTTTAAATTTTTGTAGAAAATAAACAGGCTTTCTGATAATGAATTTATTCCATTTAAAAATTCCACCCTGTATAATTGAAGCATCAGCTTTGTTAAAACAAATTTTCAACATTGAATGTCAGGACAATTTTTTTGCATTTCCTTTCTCTGGCTCTTCAACCATCGCACATCGCAGGTCATCAGCCCTGTGATCAACTGTGTAGAATAGGGCTCACTATTTTTATATGCGAAACACACCATGACCATGCCCCTATATTTTCCATGCACCGAATTTAAGCCAGCCGCCATCAAAAATTCATCATCTAATTGTGAATTTTATAGTCAATCCGTACTCTCAAAGTGGGTTCTGTTAACTTTCTAATTTCATATCCACATATACCTGCGTTAAGCCTGAGAAACTAGGCGAATATTATTAAAAGTAAACTATTATAGGCAATTAAATCAGAGTAAATAATTGTGTTTAATTTAAGTGAGTGCATGAGGAAGAATGATATAGGTACCTACATACAGCTGGTAATAATAGGTTTTCAAATAGAGCAATAATGATAAGGGTTTTTGTATTTTTTTTTCTTAGTTCCATTCAGTGTACTTACCTAACTATGTGAAAAAAAAACCTTCAAATTTCTTTTGAAGCAGAATTTCTAGATCATCAATTATGCAATTTAACATTACTCTTCCTAATTTAATGCATCATTCCTATTCCCAAAACACCTATCAACATCAAACGTTTCTACTTAAGTTCAAAAATCCTCGGAAAAATCCAATGACTCACAATCTTTCACTTTATTAGTTTTTTCCGCCAGTCACACCAGTTTATTTTAAATATTTGTAACAAGATAGCGGAAATTTAAAATCTTTATATAACACAGGTTTGATCAAGGACACAGTTGACAAGACAATGAAGAGTAGGTATGATTGCTTTAGAGAAACCGACCAACAATAAAATGATACCTTCTAGAGAACCTACTTAATATTTGCAACAAGAAATTTTCACTTTTGCATTATGTTTACTTGGTGCTACACTTTTACCTTGACTGTTACTTTCGTTACTCTTTTATAGACAAAAAAACAATTTAAAAAGTGAGACCTCATTTCCAATTTGGTGTGACAATAATAATTATCAGACATAGAGATGCAACGTGAAAAAAAACAATCCGTTTTTTTTGTTTTTTTTCAAGTTTTTTTTCATGGTTTTTTTTCAAATGGTTTTTTTTCAGATTTTGTGTTTTTTTTCTAAACTTAGCACCATATGCGCATTTTTTACTTTTTTTGCCAATTAAACTTTTCTTGGGACAAAAAATTGGTTTAAGCAGTGAAATATCGATAAAAAGTAAAATATTGTCTTATTCTATATAGAAATAACATAGGAACAATATTGGGTCTGTTTCTGCAGAAATCACAAACCAGTCAGAGCAAATTTCATTGGTTGAAAACAGTCAGAAACAGTCAGAAAACTAATTTCAACCAATGAAATTCACTCTGACTGGTTTGTGATTTCTGCAGAAACAGACCTATTCTTATGTAAATGAAACATGTTTTCAGGTCAGAGGTACATGGTACATCCATGTATGAACTATCATATTATATCAGATCATACAATCATCATATTTATACAACATACATACTAGAACAGAACATCACTGATATAAGACACTTTCGCTCGATGAAGAATTTTCAGACTGTAACCACAGATCTGTAACTACGTCTCCAGGGTCGTCAAATGTCAATTTTTTTTTACTTAAAGATGAGGTTGGAGATACTCACGAAGTTTGAAATTGAATTATTTTGAAAAAAAAAACACAAAAACTTGTTTCTTTTCTAGTTTTTTTTCATGTTTTTTTTTTCAAATCTGAAAAAAACCTGCTTTTTTACATTTGAATCATTTAGAAAAAAAACAAAAAAAACGTTTTTTTTCTGGTTTTTTTTCAATGTTTTTTTTCAAATCTGAAAAAAAACCGTTTTTTTACATCTCACAGACACCTTATAAAAAAATGCAAATTTATATCAAATTTGTGACAATAAATCGTCCCCTTGATCACTATATATACTTTGCCAGAGCAACAAATACTCGAGATGATCTTAAACTGATCATTTAAATACACTTTTGGCCTTTTATAAATAGAACCTATTGTATTTATGTTCTAGTGCATAATGTAAGCCTATGTAGGAACCTAAATGTTAAAAATATTAAGGAACAATGAAGCCACTTCCTGGTTCTCTGTCTGTATGCATATGAAATATTGCTAGTGTCTGTGTGCCGATATTTTTAGTTTTGTTTTGTTTGAGCACAACAAGGAACATTGAGCATGTTTTTAGTTGATGTTTGAAATGCTATTTTGGATTTTGGCATTGGAACTCATTTTCTATGTTAATCAATCAAGACGTTTTTGTTGTCTACATGCAGGCTCAATAAATAGGCCTTAGAGAAATGTAAACCGCAAGTTAAAAATACTATCATCATAAACTAAACTGTTTCAACCATTTATCCAATTATTCAAACGAATTTGATTCTTAAATTGATTTAATTTTGTCTAGTGGAAAATGTCTGGTTTTGAGTGGTGTTTATTAATGCTTTTTATACCATATTGATTATTTGGGTACTCTGAAAGTAACTATTTGGGGGTTGAGAGAAGTAAGTACTATTCTTAACATGCATTGCAAACTGCATAGCCTCATAAATGGAACCATCGGTATTTCATTCCGTTCTGCAATGGTGAGTGGCTGGCAGAACGAAAAAAAAAACATTACTTCTTGCTTTTACGAAGCAACAACCACCACTGCCTTCTTAGCAGGTAAAAACCTAACTAATTAAATTGGCTACCGACTGACCCCAAAAAGAAAACTTTTGAAACAATACTAGGTGGTGGGTACTTACAAGATTCCAGAACATTTCGTACAAACGAAAGACCCTATGGTAACGTTCACGTATGTAGGGCCCCTTTGACCACAATCGAAGCAGAACTTATTTTGGGGCCGAGACGCTAATTCCCTCAACGTTTTCAGGTTGTTCTCGTCCTGTTTTTTACGCGACGAAGCCATCCCAACACTACTCTTCAGGAAGGACGATGTGAAAGTTTTTAATGGAGAAAAACGTAAATTATTTTAAAAAATAATTAAACGAGGAACGAAATTGACTACACTCTACCGTCGCCAGAAGTAAACTGACGTTTTGAATTTGAAAAGTATGAAGTGAAGTGAGTGAAGTATTCTGACATTTTCCAAACAAATTGTGCGACATTGCCAAATGTTTGTGAAAATATTGAAAAGAAAGAATGTTATAAACAATGATAAATCTTCTCGAGATCAACTTGTTTCAATTTACGCAACTGAGGACGGAGGATTGGGAAAACACTTATCCAATAAATAAAGCTATTGTAGGGAATTCATTTTTTTTGTCAAATATTCCTATAATATTAATATTTATAGGTTTAGTGTCATCTAGCGAAGCATAACGATACTATACTTTACAGTAAACTTTTTTTGGTATTGTGGAGCCGTGTTGTGTGGCAACAAGTTATAAGTTTGTTTTCTTTCGGCTGACGACTGCACTACGATTCTTTGCCGTGCGTTCGGTATTTTAATCTGAGTTCTCCGAGCTTGAAATTACCGTTCTTTTATTTAAAAAGCGTATTCGGTGCAGGCTCATTCGCGTTCGTTTATTAAAATTTCGGGCACTCTAATCTCTGATACTTTAACTGCTCTGTTCGCTGGCTGGTCACGTGATTATGGCTCCGCTCAGCACGCTCTGCTCTTTGAGTAAAATACTGAACGCAAGGTTGGACTGCACTGACTCTGAAACTTACGAATGACGACTGACATGACAGTTTGTTTGTAGTCACTAGTCACTCACGACACTAGTCACTGTCACTAGTCAGTCTTCGTCTCGAAAATACTAAAATAGTGAAAAACCGCTTTTCACTAAAATTCTAATTCAACCAATCCTTCCGTGGCCAGTTTTTTTCAGGATAAAACCCATTTTTTATGACGCCGAAGCGAAACGAAAGCCTTTCTACACTGTCACGAATAATTCAACGAAAGATTAATACCAAAGAAGTAAGAACTGATGGCAAAATAGAGTTCAAATGCTAGTAAGAAGGCACTCGAATGTCGTCGTCAAATTCCGCAATGGACATTGATGGGCCCCTTGGAAGTGCCCCCGGCCCTCTGAAAAGGTCTTCCAGTGCCCCGATGATCAATGAAGCTTCTGGTACCACAATGTCGACCGCTAATTCAAGCACTTCCACTCCCAGGTAATTTGTTTGCTTTAATTCCACCGGGACTTCCACTGGGTACCCATTTTGTGACTTCATTACTTTCGTTTCGTGCTAATTTATTGCTGCTGTTTTACATTCAGCATTAAGAATATACTTGAATGTATAGGATTTTCGAATTACATAAACTATTTGTACCATAGGTCCCATAATAAAAGTTGTAGAAATAGAAATAGCAAGAAATTTTAGTTTTGTTGTTCTGACTTCTGAATATTGGTTAACATATTCCTCTTGATATTCCTTGATAAATGATAATTGCCTATTAGATATTGAACATAATTTTTATGTAGTTTGCTTGGTAGTTTGTATCTTGCATAAAGTCTGTTTTTTTTTTTAAAGATAATTCCCCAAGTCAAAAACTTAGTGACTATGTTGGCAACACAAGTCTTTTCTACTTAAAAAGTTGAAAGAATTGACAATAGGTCTGTTCGCAGAGAAATCACAAACCAGTCAGAGTGAATCTCATTGGTTGAAATTAGTTTTCTGACTGTTTCTGATTGTTTTTAACCAATGAAATGCGCTCTGACTGGTTTGTGATTGCTGTGCGAACAGGCCTAATTTTACATTGTATTGCCAACATAATAGGTCTGTTCCCACAGGAGTCTCTGACAGTTTGCAAACTGTCAGTAAGCATCTCCCATACATGTTTTCAATGCTGTCGTTACAAGATAAATCTGTAGGTCTGTTCCCACAGGAGTCTCCGACAGTTTGCAACCTGTCAGAAACAATCGCTCAGCTGAGTTACAGATTGATCTTGGAACGACAGCATTGAAAACATGTATGGGCGATTCTTACTGACAGTTTGCAAACTGTCAGAGACTCCTGTGGGAACAGACCCTGTAACTCAGCTGAGCGATTGTTTCTGACAGGTTGCAAACTGTCAGAGACTCCTGTGGGAACAGACCTATTGTCATTTAAAAAAAAAAAAAAACTTTAGTACAAATATTTCGATTTAGTTTGTTGTTGACTCGATTGTTGATTGAATTTTTAGCATATCAAATCAAATCAAAATACGCTTTATTATCTTATAAGACAATAGTCTTGTTGACAAAGCATATACATTATAAACAAAAATCATCAATAATCAAAATTAAAATTTAAAAATAAAAAATCAGGACTAACAAACAAAATGGTGAATAGAGCTGTAAAACTTAAACCTAATGTGTAAATTATAAAATACTGAACAAAACAAATATACATGACTAGGTTTTAACAATATATAAACAATTAAATAAAATACAAAAAACAAATTATGCAGAATGCTAAATGTCAATTAAAATCATTATAAAATTCGTCCACACTATAATAGGCCTTACCAACTAAAATCTGCCGAACTCCTTTTTTAAATTGTTTCATTGTAGGAAGCATCTTCACCTCATTGGGTAAGTAATTATACAGTTTGATACTTTCATATATAACCAATTTTTTGGTTAAAGTCGATGTAGGAATGGGCAATGGCAAATTGAGGTACTGTCGCGTATTGTATAGGTATAAAAATAATTTATCAAACATCAAGTAGTTGTTGATGGACGCGGAAAAAAAAAATAATTTGATTGATTTTATCATATATCTTGGAAAAATCTATTCAAGAGTGTTATTTTTCAATGCCTACATTGACATTTCCGAAGTAAAAAATGGAAATTTGGCAATCACCTCGGCAATCACTTAGGTATTCAATACAACAGATTTTTTCGAAGATTTTTTAGATATTTGAACCATGAAGTTTCTAAGTAAAATCTGTTTTTTTTTAAGATAATTCCCCAAGTCAAAAGTTTAGTAACTATGTTGGCAACACAAGCCTTTTCTACATAAAAAATTTGAAAGCATTGACAATTTTACATTGTATTGCCAACATAATGTCATTTTGACTTTTATCTTTAAAAAAAAAAACGCACTTTACAAAATAACTTGAAGGATTGCTTGAAGGAGTGCAGAACTTGACAGGACCTAGGTCAACAGAACTTGACATGACAGGACTCATAAGGCAGAGAATTTAGGTAGAGGAAGACAGTTGGGCAGTATTTGTTTTTCTTCTTCTTTGAATTACCAACCCAAGAACATATTCGATCATACAAGGATTTTCATCTTCAATGCTTGCTTGTGATCAAACTTGTCCATGATTGTTCTTTTCTGGGCGCTTGAGAAATGCAGGACTGGATTTGGTAGGACCTTGCCTGAACTCTAGGACTTCTCAGGAAATATACAACATTGTTCGATCTTGTTCACTTCTTGGTGGAGTCATGAGTAAGAGACAATACCAAAAGTCCTTGCAGTTCGCAAAAATATGAGGATTTAGAAAACGCATGTGAAGGACAGGTAGCAGTCCTTTTCAGCTGCCACTTCAGGGTGATTTTTTTCTAAAATAGTAAAAGTCCAAGAGCCCAGAGCCGCCAGACACAACTTATTTTCTAAAGGACAGAATATGTGTGATTGAGTAGCAATTATAGGTACTATGAACGTAAGTTGGGTAGACCGCCAATTGAAAATAACAGTAACAGCTGAAACTGTTATTTGTAAATAAAGGTTTTACCCATTTCTACTCTAGCCTGGAGTAGAGTGTAAGTTTAAGAAGGGGAAATAAGTTGACATAGATATCTCGCTCACTTTCAAACACATGCATAGTACTCTCGCGCTCACACTCACGGAAAAATTATTATTGCGTCTGGGGGGATGTTTGGCCGGTGCGATTGGTCTGGCTGATCACACGTAGTTATGAAATAGTCTCCCCAATAACATAATAATATATAAAAATCAAGCGTTAGAAAAAAACTTAAAAGTGTTTCACCTTCCGCAGATCGTGTCGGTAAATTGGCCGTCTACCCAACTTAACGAATATACATACGTTCATAGTACATATAAGTGCCACTCAATCCCACATATTCTGTCCTTTAGAAAATAAGTTGTCTGGCGGCTCTGGGCTCTTGGACTATAATTTCAAAGCCTTGATGTATGGGTTTTCCGGCCTTTACCACAGGTAGATGATAGGTGTGCTAAGCTGGGAATATAAAAGTTGTGCAGTTTTGGTTAAATTTTTAGAATCCATTGTCAAAAATATAAAAATATTTTCAGAAAGGACCCCGCACACTTCTTATGGGATTTTGGTTGAACGCGGAATTTAACCAAATTTTGGTATGTTGTATATTTCGACCCAGTGGCGGCTCGTGACAATCATGTAAGGGGGGGCTCAGAAAAAAATGTTAAAAAATTTGTCATCATAAAGTCAGTCTCTAAATATAAATATATATAAATTCTTAGGTCAAAATTTTAGGTGCAACATGAGTACCTACTAGTGTTGATTGTACTTTGTACTAGCCAGTTTCTGACATAGGTATATCCACGAATTTTTATTGTATATTTCTTTGTCAAACTTTCGCGAAAACTGTGCCTCATTTTTACATTTTGATTGTACCTGCACCCTGCACAATGTTCAATATTGGCAATGGCCGTCCAGTACCTATTTTTCAAGTCAAGTTTGTCGTGTAGACTCAAAAAGCTGAACACGAGTTTTTGCAATTCACTGACCTTTAGATTAGCAAATTAAATTAACAAACTCTCCGAATTCCAATAAAAAACTGATAAAAAACTTAATCCATAAACAAAACATTGAATAAATCTTGAATAAACGCTGGCAACCGTCGAAAGCGCGAAAATTTCCTGATTCCGGGCGGAACATTTGGAGCCCAATTTGTCAGAGTTTTTCGACGACATTCCTTCAACTGATTGGCTAAAACCCTTCATATCCTTCAAAACAGTAAAACAGTGGCGTGTGGCCGGCACAACGAAATAATTTACCAGAAAAAAACACTAACATGCAAGGATAATACACACTTCTAAGGATTGCTTATCAGCCTCATTTTTGGTAATCGCCGCCATATTGGTTTGTAACCATTTCCGACGTCATAACTGAGTCGTCAGTTATTTGCACTAGCGGTCGTAGTTTAGAAGATGATGAAAACGAAATTTAAAAAAGAATTGTTTTAGAATGTTAATTAATATAGTAAAACCAAGTATCCATAATGTAAAAGCCCGCGGAATTATAGCCTGTAGTGCAAACAGCCTACGTCAAAACGAGAAAGGACATGCTGCCTACGTAACAACCAGTGATTTGGCTTGGTGGGAGGCTTCACATTTGTTCCAAATAGGCCTCATGAGGATAGGCTATGGTGGTAGTGTGTATTTTTTTTTTTTTTTTTTTTTTTTTTTTTTTTTTTTTTTTTTTTTTTTTGATTATACGGGACAACCCCATTAACGAAATTTTACAGAAAAATTAAATATAATGTGACAATATTTATAAATAATTTACTAATATGTAGATAACATTGAACGCTAAAGAAAAGGAACAATACAAATAACACAGTTAGTTGTTATTAAGGTACAAGAAGCATATTTTTGTAGTCTCTTTTAAATTTAGACAAGGACACATTAAAAATTTCTAAATCTAGATTATTAATCTTTATCAAGTTTCTATTTATTGGAGAGTAAATACCATAAGATGTTCTATGAAAAGGAATATTAAAAGTAGAATGATGTCTAATATTTATATAATGAGGAACATTTAGACCAATTTGGCTTAAAAGAAAAGAACAGTCAATCAGGCCGTTAACAATTTTTAAAACAAACAATATGCCAAAGAAATCTCTCCTTGCACTCAAAGTAGGCAGCCTGAATAACCTTTCCACAGTAGTATAGTCATGGTCCACAATTGAAATATAACAATATGTATTATCCTTGACTAACATGAACGAAATTTCTTTTATCGAATTTTGAACCTAAAGCCTGAGCTACAGCACACAAACTGACGCAGTGGCGTAACGAGAATTGGCGTTTCGTATTTTTTCCCATGCAACTAATTATTTCGTTTTAATAAAAATGAAATTTGTTGGTGAAATGATTGGAATATTTGATGAATATACAATTTGCCTCAAAATCCTTTAAATTCGGATAAAAACCTTCAATCCTTCAGTAGTCAAAATTTTAGA